GATGTGGGGGGACATGGAAGGACATGGGGGGACATTGGGGACATGGAGGGATATGGAAGGGCATGGGGGGATATGGGAGGACATGGGGGATATGGGGCATGTGGGGCGACATTGGGGACATGGAGGGACATGAAGGGACGGGGGGGACATGGGTGGGCATTGGGGACAGGCAGGGATATGGAAGGGCATCGGGGTACATGGGGGGATATGGGAGGACATGGAGGGACATGAGGGATGTGGGAGGATATTGGGGTTGTGAGGGGACATGGAAGGACATGAAGGGACACGGGGGGACATGGAGGGATATGGGACATGGGGGGACAAAGACAAGGGGGGACATTTAGGGACATGGAGAGACAAGGAGGGATATGGGGGACATCAGGGGATCTGGGCAGGGGACACAGAAGGACATGAAGGGACACGGGGGGACATGGAGGGATATGGGACATGGGGGGACAAAGACAAGGGGGGACATTGGGGGACATGGAGAGACAAGGAGGGATATGGGGGACATCAGGGGATCTGGGCGGGGGACACAGAAACAAGGGAGACATGGAGGGACACAGGGGGATGTGGAGGGACATGGGGGGACTTGGAGGGACACGGAGGGACATAGGGGACATCCCAGGACACTCCTTTCCCGGCCTTTTTCCCCCATGTCAGGTTCAGCGCCCAAGGCTGCGTCCTGAGCCCAGGTGGGTCCCCCAGAAAGGGCCCCTATAGGGTTTCTATAGGGGGTTCTATAAGGATTTTCTATAGGGTTTCTACAGAGCTTGTATAGGGGCTTCTATAAGGGTCTCTATAGGAGTTTTTATAGGGCTCTTATAGAGGTTCCTATAACAGCTTCTAGGGGGTTTCTATACAGTTTGCGTAGTGGCTTCTGTAAGGGTTTCCTATAAGGGCTTCTAAAGGGTTCTTATAGGGCTTCCTATAAGGGTTTCTATAGAGTTTGTATAAGGGCTTTTAAATGATTTTCTATAAGGGCTTCTATAGGGTTCCTATAGGGTTTCCTATAAGGGTTTCTATAGGGTTCCTATAGGGGCTCCCAACAGGGTTTCTATAGGGTCCCTATGAGGGTATCTATAAGGGTTTCTATAGGGTCCCTATAGGGGTTTCCTCTCCATCTCCCCCCACCCAGGGGGGCCTCCTGGGGCCCCCAGCTCCCACTTTTCCATCCTCAGAGCTTCCCAGCATTCCCAAAGGAAGGAGCATCCCAAGGCAGGGAGAAGCAGGAAGGTCCCTGCGGAGCCGCGGCCTCTTCCCCGCTTTTTGCTCCCGGCTTTCCCAGGACTTTCCCATTTCTCCCTGTTTTTTGCCGCACGCCGATCCCGCAGGAGCGTCGGATCCCGATCCCGGGGCCCTGCAGCGCCTCGTGGTCCTGTCGCACGGCCACAGCCGGGAATGCGCCTTCATCCCGGACGTGAAGCCGGAATCCCGCGGCAACCTGGTGTGGGAATGCGTGGCCGGACACAGCTTCTCCTGGCGAGGCTGCGGCCCCCGCTCCGGCCGGGAGCCGGGATCCGAGTTATCCGGGAAGGATGGAGACGCAGCGGAGAGCATGGAAAACTCGTCTGCTAACGGCAGGAATGGGGAGGATCCCGGAGACGCCAGCGACGACACAGGTTGGGAAGAAATTCCTCTGCTTCCATGGCCGGGAATGACGCTCTGTTCACTTTCCCATCCTCATTACCTGTTTCTATTCCCTATTCCAATCCTCTATTCCCCATTCCCCCTTCTCTATTCCTTATCCCCTATTCCCTATTCCAATCCTCTATTCCCCATTCCCCCTTCTCTATTCCTTATCCCCTATTCCCTATTCCAATCCTCTATTCCCCATTCCCCCTTCTCTATTCCTTATCCCCTATTCCCTATTTCCCATCCCCATTCCCTATTTCTATTCCCTGTTCCAATCCCGCCCCATTCCCTATTTCCCATCCGCATTCCCTATTTTTATTCCCTATTCCAATCCCCTATCCCCTATTCCTTATCCCCTTTCCCCATTCCCTACGCCCATTTCCCATCCTCATTCCCTATTTCTATTCCCTGATCCAATCTCCTGTCCCCCATTCCTTATTCTCTGTCCCCATTCCCTATCCCATTTTCCATCCCTATCCTCATTCCCTATTTCTATTCCCTATTCCAACTCCCTATCTCCTATTATTTATCCCCTTTCCCCATTCCCTATGCCCATTCCTTATCCTCTATCTCCCATTCCTTACTCCCTATCCCCATTCCCTATCCCCATCTCCTATCCCCATTCCCTCCCATCAACTTCCAATGGATTCCCCAGCTTCCCACTGTATCCCTTCATTCCAAGATCCATCTGCCTGCCATAAATAACACTTGGAGCTTTTGCTGGAGGCAATTCCTGCTTTTTAGAATATTAGGGAATAATCCTCTGTTTTCCTCTCCATTCCCTGCCTTGTCCTGCTCTTCCCACCTCTCCGGTGCTCCCGGCTCCTTCCCTGTCCTTGTAGCTCCCGGAGCGCAGCCGGACACGGGGACAGCAGCAGATGGAGAAAGGTGAGCGATGGTGCCAATTCCAGCAGAATTCCATAAAAAAAGATGGAAAAACGTCGCTTCTTATCCCTGCTCCGCATTAATTCCAGTGCTCCGGAGCCGGGAGCGGCTGAGGAAGAGGAGGACGAGGAAGACGACCTGGCGTTCGCCGACGATCCGCGGGATGAGAACTACCGCCCGTCCCCGCATCCGTGAGCCGGGAATCTGCTTTTTTGGGGGAAAAAAGGCAGGATTTGGCGCTCCCTTGTGAGGCAGGCGCTGTCTGATGGCACTTTTGGGGTGAAACACGGTAAAAACGGGAGTGCAGAGCAGCTGCAGAATTCCCATTCTTATCTTCAATCCCAGCAGGGCTTATCCCATCCCAACAATGCCTTTTTGGGCTTGAAAATCCCTTTTTTCTTATTCCTTCCTGGGCTGGGGGAGGCTTTTCCCTATGAATGTACCAATTTTTCCATTTTTTGCCATTGAAGCCCTCATGTCCCTGCTCATCCCCTATTGCTTCCCAGCGAGCCGCAGCGGGGCCGGAGCCGGAAAAGCGGGAAGGGGGAAGGAAGCGGCAACGTGGAAAAGGGCAGGTGAGTCGGGAGCATCTCCCGCTTTTCCCATCCACCTCCTGCTTTTCCCGTCCGTCTCCTTCAGCCTCCGCTTGGAGAAACTGCCCAAGGACCCAATTCCCAAAGGATTCTGGCTGGAGCTCCAGCGCGGAGCTTTTTCTCCGGAATGGGAGATGCCGAAGTGCAACGGGATGGGTGAAAAACAGGGCGGTTTGGGCCTTTTCCAGTGTAATTCCGATGTCCAAAGGATACGTTTCCTCCCAAATCTGCTCCTGGGGCAGCAATTCCCTAAAAAAAACTTGTGGGGAGAAAGAATCACAAACAGACGCCGCTTTTCCAAAGTTTTGGAGCCCGGCTTCCAAAATCCAGGTTTTCAGTCCCTCCTCCTGCTCTGCAATCAAAGGATCTGCCTCCAAAATATCCATTGAGGGATTTTTCCATGGGCCAGAGCGGATCCTGGAGGAGACACGAGTGTCCCGGAGGCTCCTTGCTCCCAAATTCCTGTTTCTCTCCCCAAAATCGGCAGGGACAGGCGCTGGGGGGTATTTTGGGGGGCTTTCCGCTGCATTTGAGCCGGGAAGCAGCCACATTCCAGCATGGAAAGACCAGGGATCAAGTTAAAATCCGGCATTCCCGGTGGCTCCAAGCTCACGACGGATAGGCCTTTGACGGGGCGATCCAAGGAATTTCTCGATCCAAGATCCGACTCTTTTACGAGGAATCCCCAGCTCCCGCTCACCTTCCTTGTGCGGAAATGGGAAGATGATCCCGGCTCTTCATTCCCGGCTCCAAAATCCGAGTCAGGAAGCAGCTTCCCGAATTTTCCGACGATTTGAACTCCAATGAAGGCTGCAAAAATCCCTTTTTCTGCCTTTTTCCTGGAGAAATTCAACTCCACCGCCACACAGGGAATCTTGCCTCTGCATGTCCCAAAAAAGCATGGATTTACCCCAAAAATAACACCCAAGTAAGTATTTTATATATTAATACTTTATATTTTTGTGTATTTTTTTGTTTTACCAAGTTTTACTCATTTTGGCGACTTCTGTCTTGCAGACTCCGAAAACCAGCGGCATTTTGCTGCAAAAAAAGTTTTCCAGGAGTTTCCCAGGAGAAAACACGACTGTGTCCCTGTCCCTCCTCTAAAATCCCATTTTTCCCCCAATTTCAAGCCTGAAACGGCCTCTGGATTCCTGCAGAATTGGGAAAAACTGGAAAAAATTCCCAGCTCAGGAAGTGATGTCAAGGGGGACTCAGCAAGGTTGAATCTCATGGGATTTTTCCCAAAATGTGTTAAAAACTTCTGTAAAAAAAATAATAAAGCTTACGTATTTTTAGTGATATTGCCTGAAAACTGCTTTTTTAACAGCATTATCTTCACGTTGGGATTGTAAGTGCAATTTTAAGGGAATTTAGCTATAAAAAAGAGAAATTATTGTCCATAATTGGTTATTTTTAAGGGGGAATAAACTGGATTTTGGTTCCCTTGGCTGCTCCGTGGATTCCCCTTTTCTATCCTCTTCCCATTCCTAATTTTCCATCCCAACTTTTTTCCCTCCTGCAGCCGGGAGACGGGAGCGGGGCCACGCGACGAGGACGCGGCCCAGATCGGCCCCAAGAGGATCAGGTAGTGAGTGGGATTGGGATCGGGAATGGGATTCCCAACAGTTTTCCAGGTGGGAGGATGGGATGAGTGGCTTAGTTCCTTGTGGTGGGATAACTTCATCCAGGATAACCCCGACAAAGGCTCCTTAGGGCTTTATCCACCTGCATTCCCCTTTTGATGCATCCATGGGCAGATTCCCAGGAAATTTTCCCATCATTTTTCCCTCTTTTTTTCCCAGGAAAGCGGCAAAACGTGAGATCCTCCTCTGCGACTTTGAAGGCTGCGGGAAGATCTTCTCCAACCGGCAGTACCTGAATGTGAGGACGGATGGGGTGGGAAGAGAGCCCGGCATTCCAG